CGACACGGGGCTTGAACTCACGGACCATGAGATCATGACCTGAGCCGAAGTCAGATGCTTAACCGACTGAACTATCTGGTGCCCATATATATGTATATAATGTTTGTTTATTTTTGAGAGAGAGAGAGAACAAGCGGGGGAGGGGCAGAGAGGGAGAGAGAGGATCTCAAGCAGGCTCCAGCTTAGATCAGAGCCAGATGCAGGGCTTGATCCCACGAACCACGAGATCACGACCTGAGCCGAAATCAAGAGTTGGAGGCTTAATCGACTGAGCCCCCCGGGCATCCCGGAAGAGGTTTATATTTTGTTACCACTTTCAAAAAAAGATATTTTACTGTTTTAGAAAAGTGTATATCGTAGTACTTCATTTACCAGTGGCCCCTTTTGCAGACCCTCTGGCTTTATTGTTTAAAGCCTGTTGCCTTTTCCTTCTCCTGACACACGGAGTGCCTAGTCTTATACCCTGGGTCCTAAAAGACTCATCTTCCCCCCAAGTATCATTCCGGATCAAGAACAGTGCTGACAGGCAACAAATGGCCAGTGTTGAATGTGCTGGAGGCATATCTTGCACGGTGTTTGAGGTCACCCTTCCGACCTCATCTTGTAAGTGCCATGATTACGTCTCTTCCAGGCTGAGAGAGGAGAAGCAACTTGTCCAAAGTCACCCAGCTGGGCCGTGGGGGAGGGATTCAGGCACGTCTCTGACTCCTCAGCCCTGGGCCGTTTTGTCACCGGGCCTCTTCTGTCCAGATACCTCTCTGTACCCGCATGTACTCTAGAATCTCGCGTGTGGGGAGGGAGTGTGTCTTCTTTTCCTTTCTGTCCTTTTTAGCCCCAAACAGACCTTTGCACCGTGCGGGATAGACGCCCGCACCCAAAGCGTGCTGCTGGAATGAGCAACTGGGTGAGCGGACGCCTATTTGGTGCTGGCGTCCCGGGGGCTCCCGTGCGTGGTGGGGGGCTGGCTGCGGGCCATTCTTGGGCTCCACCGTCCAGCGCACGGATCACAGAGCGGACTCTCCCCTGTGTTGCAGATGTATGACAACATAGCACTGCTGAGGTTTAATGATGGGGACGGTGGAGAAAAGCTGGCGTCCGCCATGATCTCAGCAGAGGGCGAAGTCATGGAGTTCCGGAAGATCATACGGGCCGAGGGGCGCGTGGAGGACTGGATGACAGCAGTTTTGAACGAAATGCGGAGGACCAACCGGCTGATTACCAAAGAGGCTATTTTTAGATACTGTGAAGACAGAAGCAGGTAGGGTCGTAAATGTGAACGTGTGTCACTTTATTATATTAGCAGTCATAATGGATTAATATTAAAGGCTTGGGGTAGATTGAGTGACATTCCAAATGAAGCTTTCTTTTCTTGGAATAGCTAAGTTAGCCCGCGCCTTGTCTGTCTTTCAAGGATGGCCTAATTCAGGACTTCTCAAAGTGCGGTAGCATCGGACCGACAGTGGCAGGGCCCCTGGGAGCTTGTGACAAATGCAAATTCCTGGGACGGACTCCACCTCAGCCCCACGGGGCCATCTGTGTATCTTATAAGCCCCTCCCCGGGGATTCTGAGCACGCTCAGCTGTGAGAACCACTGGCCTGGTGACCCAACAGAAACCGGGTGTTCGGTAGGGTTCATCCGTGTAAAGTCGTTTCTAAGATATTTAACCGATGTCAATCACGCCTTGATTTTTCTGGCCTGAGAAGCTTCCAGGCACCAAGCTGAGCCACGCCTGCTTCTCATCGAGCAAAGGGCTGGCTTTAATGCGTGGTACATACGACATCTTTGGATGACTGGTGCCATTAGATTTAGGCGGGGCTCCTGGGAATATATTTGGCAGGGCCTTGATGGCAGACATAAAATCTCCATTATTATTTTAGGAGTGCTGTCCCTTTGATTTTAGACACTGAAAAACATCTAGTTAAATAAATGAGCAGAGAATAGCCTTACAGTTGGATCATTATGATCCTATTTTTTAGGTGCTATAAAAATTGGTTTATGTCCTTATGTCCATCAAGTATACGTAGATATCTTCGGTAGTGTGCTGGTCATCAAGCTGGTTTTCTGAAGCAAACAAACAAAAAACCTTTGATTTAGAGAGTTTGTCAATTTACATGGTGTAGATACTCCCACCATGGCTGATTTCAAAGCTAGTGGAATAAGATAAGTGGTTTGAACATCAGCCTGCAAAATTCCCGAGTATTTGGCGGTAAACTCTCGTGAACTGGTAGGAGGCAGCTCCTGTACGTTATCAGCCATGTTCATTAATTGAACTACTATTTAATCGGATTCCTGCTCTGAGCTGATCACTGTGCCAGATGCTCATACAAAACTGAACGAGACAGAAATCACTGGCCCCCAGGAGAGGTGATCACGGAGCATTCTGCAGTCTCCTTAATGCCCCCAGATCAGAAGAATTTTACACCAGCGTTAGTTTTCTCGACATCATAACTGCCACGTTGCCAGGGTGCTGCTGTGTGTCACAGCGTGTGGTTGGTGGGAGACAGTCAGGGAAGGGAACCCGATGTGTCTGTATTACTCCTCTCCTCCCCAAACCCCTTCCGCTCGGGCACTGTTGTTTCTAACGACAAGGGTGAGTAGTTGAAATGAGTACATTGGTTTATTTGAGCAGACGTGTTTTGGCTGCACTGAGAAGACAGGCCTAGGGATACACAGCCCCAGAAAGCGCCCCTGTCCTGGTATTTGCCAGACGCCATCATGGTCACCTTAGCTGTGCCCTGAGTCACGTTATTTTTTCTGCTCGGCTTGCTTCTGCCTCTCCTGATTTCCAGCTTCCTAGGTTCCCCATCACCTTTATCTAGTGTGTAGGGGTCATAATTATAGATACTATTTAGGTTTTCAAGGTGCCATACAACTTTAAAGCAAGGTGGTAAAGCCTGATCTTTTTTTTGTTTTAAATACACTTTTAAATTTATTTTGCCATTAATTGTATATCATCAGGATAATGACGTAGTAATTCACGGTCACTTTTCCTGGATTGGAACTTATAGCTCTGGGTCTGTTACTTATTTTTTTTTTTTTAATTTTTAACGTTTATTTTTGAGGGAGAGAGAGAGAGAGAGACAGAGAATGAGCAGGGGAGAGGCAGAGAGAGAGACAGAGACACAGAATCCGAAGCAGGCTCCAGGCTCTGAGCTGTCAGCACAGAGCCTGAGGCGGGGCTCGAACGCATGAACTCTGAGATCATGACCTGAGCTGAAGTCAGACGCTTCACTGACTGAGCCACCCAGGCGTCCCCAAAATGTAAACATTCTCATAATGTTCCCATAACATTAAGTCATTCTGAAAGGTCTATTAAGGCGTCTTTTCAAAGCGATCTAGCAGCTCCCTACACGGTCAGCTGTCACGGTCTCACGTGCGCGTGTGGTCGGCTCGGGCTTTTCCTGTCTATCCGGAAGACTTCTTGCCATTTGCTTGCCTAGAGCCCTTCCTTTGCCTTTCCCCATTCTGCATCAAAGAACTAAATTCTTCCAGGGGCTGTTGTCTGGTACCAGTCCCTCGAGCAGGTGCGCCGTTTCCCCTTTAGAGTCGACTGGATGCTCCTGTACCAGGGGATGGTGGTGCTGGCCGCCAGCCAGGTGTGGTGGACATGGGAAGTGGAGGATGTCTTCCGCAAAGTGCAGAAAGGGGAGAAGCAGGCCATGAAGGACTATGGCAAGAAGATGCACGAGCAGATCGACGAGCTGGTCACTCGGATCACCATGTCCTTAAGCAGGAACGACAGGAAGAAATACAACACGGTCCTCATCATCGACGTCCACGCCAGAGATATAGTCGACTCCTTCATAAGAAGCAGGTGAGGCCCTTCCAGGGCGCCGGGGTCTCACAGCGCGTCCGGCCCTGCGCTTCGTCTCGCCGCCTCTCTGACCGCGTCTCCCGCTTGTCCCCTTCCAGCATCCTCGACGCCCGGGAGTTTGAATGGGAAAGTCAGCTGCGGTTTTACTGGGACCGGGGGCCGGATGAGCTGAACATCCGCCAGTGCACCGGCACCTTCGGCTACGGATACGAGTACATGGGTTTGAACGGGAGGCTGGTCATTACGCCGCTCACAGACCGGATTTACCTGACCCTTACTCAGGTGACTGGCCTCCTGGACCTTGTGGTTATCAGCTGCCTGTGGGTTTCTCGCTGAGCAGGATTAGGGTGATCGGAGACACTGTCCCGGGTTGACCTGTGCCCCCTCCCCCCTCCAGCAGCTTGATTTCAGACTTCCAGCCCTAGGTTCTGTGAACGAATACGCTTCTGTTGTTTTAAGCCCCCTACTTGGTGGTAATTTGTTAGGGCAGCCCCAGGAAATTAATGCCGATAGTGAGGGGCATTGTTGTTTAAACCCCGTAAATGAGTTTCAGATTGGAATGTGACTGGCTTGCCGCCTTTTGGGATTGGGCTGTTGCAGGTTCAGGTGGCGCCTGAAACCCCCGTCAGGTTTAATAATTTGCTAAAAGGATTCCCAGAGCTCAGAAAAACCATTACAGTCACAGCTGTGGTTTATTATAGCAAGGGGACGCAGATTAAAATTGGCAGTAGAAAGGCTTAGGACAGGGTCCGGGTGAGACCAGGTGCGAAGCTTCAGCTTCCTCTCACGGTGTGGTTGTGCAGACGGCATTATTTCTTACAGCGGTGACACGTGGCAGCATGCATGAAGTATTGTCACCCAGGGAAGCTCCTCAGAGCCTTGGTGTCTAGGGATTCAGTTGGGGACTGGTCATGTAGCAATGGCTGATCACCCCGATGGCCGACGTTAGTTTCCAGCCCCTCTAGAAGTCAAGCTGATACCATGTGGCCCAAGGTCACTGTTCTCAGGACATTCCGGGGGCTTAGAGGTCAACTCCTAGAATCTGGAGACAAAGGGCCAAACCTTTCTTTGGGGAGGACTAATCCTTTACTGCACAGATGAACATGCGTCCGTGAGCCCCAACTCTGGGACCTACCGGGACCTTGTCCTTAGTGTAGGCACAGATTCTCGCATGTTGCTTCATCCTGGGTGTACTGGTTCCTATATCATGCGGTGGGGGGTGGTCGGTAGCGGTCAGTGGAAAAACACAGAAAAGAAACATTAAGAATGGTGACTATCAGAAAAGGTGAGTGTGTCGGATGCCTGGATGGCTCTGTCGGTTGAGTGTCTGACTTTTGATTTCGGCTCAGGTCATGATCCCACCATTGTGGGATCGAGCCCCTCGTTGGGCTCCATGCTGAGCATGAAGCCTGCTTAAGATTTTCTCTCTCCCTCCCTCCCTCTCTCTTTCTCCCTCCCTCTCTCTCTCTTTCTCCCTCCCTCTCTCTCTCTTTCTCCCTCCCTCTCTCTCTCTTTCTCCCTCCCTCTCTCTCAAGGAAATAATAAGAAAGGTGAGTGTGAACTTGTCCATTGCCACATGTATATATTCCACATAGATTATCACAGTGCTTTGGGAAATGACACCCGTTTCCTTGTGAGAATCAGACCAATGTATGTTTCGCATTTCGCTCATAACAGGCACTGTCCATGTATCTGGGAGGGGCCCCTGCTGGCCCAGCAGGTACTGGCAAAACCGAGACCACCAAGGATCTAGCCAAAGCCCTGGGCCTGCTCTGTGTTGTAACCAACTGCGGCGAAGGCATGGATTATAAGGTAAGGCCTTGTCGTCACTCCCGGTGCTGTGTTACTGGGCAGAGAGCTAAAAGCGGGGCGTGGTAGGAAGGCATTTCACCTCATTCTCTTCCATGAAGACGCATGGAGGCGGCTGGAAGAGTAGAGCTGAGAATCTTTTGCCCCCGGTCCCAGAACGTACACGTGTCGGCTTTGTTAGCAGCTTGTAGAGCAAGCGTCGCAAACAGAGATGCCACCAGAGCCACATAGATAACGAGGAAAGCAGCAGATAGGGACGATACGGAGTGGTGAAGACTGTGGCCAAGTAGAAGGCAGTGCTTCGGCTGCGGGGGGAGCCACTGGTTAGCTGTGGTTGTTACCACTTGGGAAAGCGGACCCGGTGTTGCTCAAGAGAGGCCAGAGATCCGGAGTTTTCCATGCAAATCCTTAATTTGCAAAATCCTGTGAATGGGAGCTGGCCCATGAGAGGGTCCCGGAAGTGTTGCCAGAAAGATCCATTCGTGGGGTGGTTGGCCAGCTGCCTCTCCGCCAACCTGATGTTCACTGTCGGCTTTAATTTAGGCGATGTCTCCGCAAACGTATCGCTTGCAGTTTGGAAGATAAAAATTGCCCTTGTCCTGACATTTCTTTCATTCTAGGCCATTGGGAAGATTTTCTCTGGCCTCGCCCAGTGTGGGGCCTGGGGCTGCTTTGACGAGTTTAATCGAATCGACGCCTCTGTGCTGTCGGTCATCTCGTCCCAGATTCAGACGATCCGAAACGCTCTGATCCATCAGGTGACTACGTTCCAGGTGAGGCTGAGCGCGGGGCCTGCCTGGACCACATGCTCCAGGGCGGAAACCTCACCAGGTGCTGGGTAGTCGCCCTTCCGGACCAGGCTGCTGACAGATGATTTGACAGACTTCTTTCAAATTGAGATGGTTGGGTTTTCCAAAATTATCAGCATCTTTGACAATTAAGGACTGCGCTATTCTAAGAACTTCGAACTAATTGCAGACATATGCAAAGTTGCTATCGGTGGGCAAGGCAGTGTTCTCAAATAAGTGATGTACAGAGCCCCCTTTAAAGGAGAAAAACATTTGTGGTCGCTTCCCAAGTTTGAGAAAAAAGGCAGCCTTAAAGATTAACGTCCCATGGGGCGCCTTGGGTGGCTCGGTCGGTTAAGCATCCAACCTCGGCTTAGGTCATGATCTCACAGTTTGTGAGTTCGAGCCCCGTGTCGGGTTCTGTGCTGACAGCTCAGAGGCTGGAGCCTGCTTCGGATTCTGTGTCTCCCTCTCTGTCTTCCCTTCCCCTGCTCACTCACACATTCTCTCTCAACACAACAAATAAATACAAACAAACAAACAAACAAATACAATCCATTCCATCTGATGAAGCTGGATGAGAATTTGGAGAAGCATGATCTAATTCTATAATTCGCACACTCCAGAAGTGGGTTCTGTTAACGAAAGGGTCCAGAGTGGCCGGACCAGTCCCCTGCACCAGGGCCTCTCTGATCCCAGTGTACTTTGCTGCCCCTCCTGCCCCTGTGTCCCCGTGTGCCCTGCACTCTTGTCACCTCATGACACTCACCCTGCAGACGCACCATGTCTTGTCACACCGTATGTGTCCCTGTCTGCCTGGAATCGTCCGTCCTTCCTTTGTGCCTGAAATCTCCTATATATTCTCTGAGGCCCTACAGAGCCTCAGAAGTTCGGGACCCAAATGTGGCTCAGGCTGGTGTGGATTCGCCTGGGGGTACCTCCCTGGCCCTAGCCACCCACCTGCTTTCCTGCCGGACCTCAGTGTGGCTCACTCTCGAGAGATTATGTAAACTAGGTACTGGTAAACATTTTCGGGATTCCCAGAAAGGCTTTGGGTGGATTTCCTTTTAATTCGTTCTTCTGAAATCGTTCAGGGCTGGGTTTACTGCTTGTGAGGGAGGGAAATTGAACCTGCAATGCGTTCAGGTTAAATAATAAATAACCCGTCTGTCATCTCTGGGGGGCAGTCTGGGCCTCCTGTGGATATTGGGACATGGGTGGGAGTGGTCTCAGTGCAGCCCGGGGGGACGAGACAGGGGGGGCATCAGCTACCTGCTGGGCTGCCCGCCTTGTCGCCGAGGCCACCCGTGCCTCATAAAAATAGAATTTCCTATTTTTTGTCTCTATGGAGGACCAGCGAAAGAAATAAAATAGTAAGCTCTTAGCAAAAAAAAGTTGAGGCAGGTGAAACTCAACTGTAGGCTAAAGAAATTCAAAATGTTGAGATTCCTGCAGTTTGTTGGTCCCCAAGGCACCGGGAGGATGAAGAGGTGGGAAGGGTTGATGTCCAGGCGCCCGGGGGGCGGGGTTGAGGCTGGATGCGGGGAGTCACAGGTAACCTGAATGAAAATCCACTTTGCGTGGGGCGCCAGACTGTGTGCTCGAGCACAGATCGCCCCGCTCAATCGCCAAACCTTGCGGAGAGGGAAACCGACTCAGAGAAGTTAGGTAACCTGTTGGGGCTCACACAGCACCTCGGACCATCCCCAGGCTGCACTCCTTCCCCCCAGCTGCCACTTCTCAAGTGTGCAGACCCTTGATCTGGATCAGAGTTTGGGGAGGGCAAGGCTTGCCCCCTAGAACACTCAGGCCATAAGCACGAGGGCTCTACGTTTAACACCCGGAAACGGAAGGGAGCCGAAGGTGATGTCTGCCGGCCGTAACCCCCGTCCTTTCCTGTCACCCTCCAGTTTGAAGGGCAGGAGATCTCCCTGGACTCGAGAATGGGCATCTTCATCACCATGAATCCCGGCTACGCTGGCCGCACGGAGCTGCCCGAGTCCGTGAAGGCCCTCTTCAGGCCCGTGGTGGTGATCGTGCCCGACCTGCAGCAGATCTGTGAGATCATGCTCTTCTCGGAGGGCTTCCTCTGGGCCAAGGTGAGGCCTTGTGGTTGCCGGGCCCAGGCTCCGCCCTGGCTCTGCTTTCCGACTGGGGGCTTGGCAAGTTTGCATTCTGTGTGGCTTGCTTGCTTTCTGTGTCTGTCTGTCTGTCTGTCTCTCTCTCTCTCTCTCTCTCTCTCCCCCCCCCACCGCTTCTCCTGCCCCTTTTGAAAATTGTGAGTTTTATTTTCAAATAATTTGACTCCCAAGAAGTGACAAGCAAAGCGCAGGAAGTTCTGTGTGCCCCTCCCCCAGCTTCCCCAGGGATGACACCTGACACCCCCAAGGCTGGTTGTCAGAACCGGGAAAGTGATGCGGGCGCTGTGCTTTTAGCTCAGCTACAGACTTTATCTGGATTCCGTCGGGTTTGCTTGTTCATAGAGCAGTTCCATCTGAGCACCCGTACGTCCGTTTTCTTTGTAGAATGATGTCCCTTTGCTCTCGGGTCATTTTCTTTCTTTCTTTATCATTATCTTTGATCACAAAAGACACTGGCCAAAAAGATGACTGTCCTGTACAAGCTGGCCCGGGAACAGCTCTCCAAGCAACACCACTATGATTTTGGACTGAGAGCCCTGAAATCGGTGTTGGTAATGGCTGGAGAGCTGAAGAGAGGCTCTTCGGAACTTAGAGAGGTAGGGACCACGTGTACCCACGTCCTCTGGGTCTTCGGTTCCCACGCACCTGACAACCGCCGGGATGGGTGACGGGCTACTATATGGTACTCACGGGAAAGGTTTAGCCTTAGCTGTCACTTCACTGGGTTGCTGGCCTCAGTTGGGTCTCTTAGCCATTATATGTTTTGTTTTGTTTTGTTTTGTTTCTAATTTGATTTATCACCATAGGTCAATTTCAGTGTCTCCACGGCACCACAGTTTCTGATGCCTCTGATCAATCCACAAGTGCAGGATGGTGGGGTGGAGGGATGGGGATAAACCCAGGCCTCAAGAAAGCGCGAGTACGAATTTTGTGTCTTTTTCCTCTTTGCAATGAAAGCTCAGGACCTACTCTGAAGCAGACTTCAGTCAGTGCTGCTCTGTGGGCAACAGGTTCACGTTTTTCTCTGGAGACTGTGCTGACAATGCTTCGTGTCTTATAGTTTATAGAAAATTTCATTTTATATTTCATAAGAGGATTCCTAGACCAGTCTCCGGGTCTTTCAGAAATATCTTTGAAGATGTCCGTTTCATTCCATCCAGGATGTGGTGCTGATGAGGGCCCTTCGAGACATGAATCTGCCCAAGTTTGTATTTGAGGACGTCCCTCTTTTCCTCGGTTTGATTTCCGATCTGTTTCCTGGACTGGACTGCCCGCGTGTTCGCTACCCCGATTTTAATGACGCCGTAGAGCAGGTGCAGCAGGAGAACGGCTACATTGTCTTACCTGTCCAGGTAAGGCAGCGTGAAATGACTTCACGGGCTTCTTCTGGGTCCTTTCCATTGTTTTTGTTTGTTTGTTTTTCATTAAAATATAAATAATATAACATTTACTGTCTTAACCATTTTTCCCTGCCCTTTTTTTTTTTTTTTTTTTTTTTTTTTTTTTTTTTTTTTTTTTTTTTAGTGTGGTAAGGTACACATACCATAAAAATTTCCATCTTACCCAGTTTTAGTCCAGGGTAGTAGTGTTAAGTATATTCATATCGTGAAACAGATCTTCAGAACTTTTCCATTGTGTGAAACTGAGACTCTGTCCCCGTTAACCAGCGACTCCCCCCTCCCCTCCGCTTCCCCAGCCCCTGGCACCTACCTGGCACCCAGCCTTCTGCTTCTATGAATCTGACTCCTTTGGGGACTTCCCGTAAGTGGAATCCTGAGGTATTTGTCCTTTTGTGACTGGCTTCTTTCACTTTGCAAGTTTTCACGGCTCATCCGTGTAATAGCATGTGTCGGAATCACCTTCCTTTTTAAGGCAGAATAGTTTCCCACTGTATGTACATATCACCCACCCATTGTTTTTGGCATAATATGATAACTGAAGTGTTTTGCTTTGGGGTCCAACCATTTAATGTTCTCTCCCCACCCCATCTTTTTTTTTTTTTTCCCAGAGTCACACATATAAGGAAAATTAAATTAAATGTTACCGATAAGATTTTGATCATCTCAAGTCTGTAAGGTTGTATATGTCATCATTAAGCCATGAACTGCCAGAGTGTTCTGCTGAGGGTCTAAATGCCTAAAGCTTCAGGACCAGGGTGGCCGCCTCTGGTCGGGCTATCTCGGGTCATCAGGCTACCCAGAGGCCTCGGGCTGGGGCAGCAGGTACTGGCCACAGATGAGAGAGCTCTTGGCACCTTTCCTGGCCCTGAGGTTTTCCTCTGGATGTGGTTGTTTAAAACAATGTGTTTTCTGGTGGGAATGTAAAATGGTGCAGCGGCTATTAGAAAAACAGCCCGGCAGTTCCCCAAGAAGTTACACACAGACTTAACCATATGACCTGTGTATCTCCCCAAGAGAAATGACATGTGTTCACACAAAAACTTGTCTACAAATGTTTGTAGCAGCATTATCTGTAAGAGGGGAAAAATGAAAACGTGCAAATGTCCACCCATTGATGAATAAGCAAAATGCGATCTATCCGTGCAATGGGATTTTACTCAGCCACGAAGGAGAATCAAGTCCTGACCCACGATATAATGTGCATAAACCCTGGAAACATGCTGAAAGTAGCCAGACACAAAGGCCCACATATACCGTGTGATTCCATTTATGTCATTCCATTTATTTATGGAGAGTGGGCAGATTCATGGGAACACACAGCACATGAACAGTGCCAGCAGCTGGGGGCAGGGCTTGGAAGGGTTGACTATGGGTGCAGAGTTTTGGGGGTGGGGGAACGTGTGATGAAAACCCTCTAAGATTGAAGGTCGTGATTGTGCCCATACTAAAACCCACCGACTCGCACACTTGAAATGGGTGAACTGCATGGTAAGTGAATTATAGCTCAATAAAGCTGTTTTAAAAAAAGCTGTGTTACCCTAGCTACCAACGTTTGCCCCACAGGTGGATAAAGTGGTTCAGATGTTCGAGACCATGTTGACCCGCCACACGACCATGGTGGTGGGGCCCACGGGAGGGGGCAAGTCCGTCATCATTAACACCCTGTGTCAGGCCCAGACCAAGTGAGTATGACCCCGAGGAGGGGGCCTCGTTGCCCGGTCGTGGTGGTATCACCTAGTTACACTTTGCTTTCTCGATTCCTGGGAGGTTAGGTTTGTCTTAAAACACTGCCTTTTTTTTTTTTTTTTTTTTTTTTTTTTTTTTTTTTTTTTTTAATCATGAAAGTGAAAAGTTCATTCGTGTTTGAAACTACGTTCAGCTACCACGGGGAAGACATTTTCAAGCCAGGGTGTAATCCAGTCAGAAAGGAATGTGAAACATTTTTAATACCTTAGCTTCATGGCCACCGATTATTTTCATGACCCAGTCAGCTTCAGAATCGCATGCGATACAGAGTGAAACATACAGTCCTCAAAACTGAAATCTGAACACGTCAGTGTCCTAAACACCACTTTAGACTCGAAGTGGCTCGATTTGTTTCATTGCTGAGTTAGTCCACCTATTTTTATTTATTTTTGTTTTTATTTTTTTAAGAGAGAGAGTGAGCTTTCCTTTTTTTTTTTTTTTTTTTTAAATGTTTGTTTATTTTTGAGAGAGACAGAGACAGAATGCAAGTGGGTTAGGGGCAGAGAGAGAGGGAGACACAGAATCCGAAGCGGGCCCCAGGCTCTGAGCGGTCAGCACAGAGCCCGAGGTAGGGCTCGAACCCACGAACCATGAGATCATGACCTGAGCCGAAGTCAGACGCTTAACTGACTGAGCCACTCAGGCGCCCCTAGTTCACCTATTTTAGAAGGCAAAACAGTGACCCTCGTGTCCATCACCCTGTGACCAGGATCATCTGTGAGGGAAGTATTTCACAAACAACCTTATAAAGATATTTTGAAAATTAACTGGTTAAGTTGTATCTTCTTGGTGTTCAGGTTGCTCCTTCAAAGTGAGGCAGGACGCTCACCATTATGCAACCCTTGTTATGGTATCAGCGTGGCCAAAAACGGAGTGTCCCCTCCCCAGATGAGTTAACCATTGCCAGCCCAGTGGGAGCTAGGAAAGGGATCTCACACTCCTGACACAGAACATTCTGAAGACCTGGAGTGAGTTGTCGTGCCCATCCTTGTCCTGAAAACAGGTTTTCTCACCTCTCGCTCTCCTCCTAAGCAATAACTAGGTCCCAGAAAGACTTCGCTGCATGTGAATATTCCAGCAAAAATCTAAATCAAGACTCACGATCTTTGTGACGTGAACATTTCTAGATAGTCTATATAAGATCAGTAAGTGACTGCCATTTTTCCTTAATTCTTCTTATGTTTCTTATGAGAAGGCCAGTGGACAGTGGCTCCCTGGCTTCAAGGGGGCTGCACCATAGCCCTCCTGCCTTTTGTTCTTTAATTAATTCATTGTTAGGTAGTTGATAGAACTGTCACATACGTGTGTGTATTTGCACGCCACCGTTATTTTTAGGTAGTTAATTATGAACTGTTTGTGCGAGGTGTGGTTTTCTGTAGACAGATTCATCCCATCGTGTTGCAGGAATTTGAGGGCATTATGGTGGCAAATGCCCCATCCACACGACGCACAAGGTCAGCAGCACAGAGCAGACATCCCGTAGATACGAGAGATTGAACGTTAGTGGTCCAAGGGTGTGTTACGTAGTCCTGGACGACTGTTGTCTCCTGTACGCGAATTATGAAACCTTTACGTAAATCGTCACAGGCACGACTACGTAACTTAGCTTCTCATTGCCCTGAAAAGGCAAGACTCTGCCTTCAGTTCAGACCTCGCTTGTGCTGGGGCCATATTTTTGGTGAAACATGGTTCCCTTGCATTAAAAAAAAAATTTTTTTTAAGTTTACTTATTTTTGAGAGAGAGACAGAGTGTGAGTGGGGGAGGGGCAGAGAGAGAGGGAGACACAGAATGTGAAGCAGGCTCCAGGCTCCGAGCTGTCGGCACAGAAGCTGATGCAGGGCTCGAACCCACGGATCGTGAGATCATGACCTGAGCCAAAGTCGGACGCTTACCTGACTGAGCCACACAGGCAACCCTGTTCCCTTGCATTTAGTGTAAGCCATTGATGGTAATGGAGAAGCCCAGGGGAGAGTTTGTGTGGGTTGCATTTGAAATTTTGGACTGGATCCCAGACATCTAACCCCTGCCTTGGCAGCCCAGACTGTTTTCCTAATGTGTAGTCCACCTGGATCACAGCTGCAGCCTCTCTCCTTGGGTTTAGGCTCGGGCTGATGACGAAGTTGTACATCCTAAACCCCAAAGCCGTGAGTGTCATAGAGCTCTATGGCATCCTGGACCCCACCACCCGAGACTGGACAGACGGGGTGCTGTCGAACATCTTCCGGGAAATCAACAGGCCGACGGATAAGAAGGAGCGAAAGTGAGTACGTTTGTAAATGGGAGAGAGCCTGGGTTAGCCTCATATTAATTATCTGAATGTTATAGGTAAAGAAAAAAAAAAGACAACGTATAGTATTGTGGTTTCATGCATGGATGCCCACAGACTTAGAGTCAGATGTCGAAGGCCCTGCTCACAAAGTGCCAGATGCATGTCAGTTCTCTGTGTGTTATCTCTGTCTCCTCAACTGCTAGGATACTCTGCTCTCTATAAGGATACTTGTCCTTGGATAAGGGCCCACCTGGGTAATCCAAGATGCTGTCATCTTGAGATCCTTAACGCCTGCAAAAATCTTTTCTTCCCCCCAAATAAGGTCGCAGTCACAGGTTCTGGATGGACGTATCTTTTGGGAGCCACCATTCAACCCATTATACACAGATAGGGTATATGAAATACTTTCCTTTGCTCTTAACCTTACCATAAGAAAAGTTGGTGTCAAAACGAATGACCAATAGCAATTGATATTCTCAGTTTTAAGAAAAGACTGAGACTGTGATCCTATCCGTCTCCACACACAGCTGCTGCTCAGCTCCAGCAGATTGTTCCCAGGCAGGAGCGCAGGTCTGTGTTTTCAGCCTTTCGGGTTGCAAGAGAAGCAAGAAATTCAGATTTTTGTGTGAAGTTGCATTATTCTTCAGCGTCAGTGACTGACTCACACAGATATTATGGTTTGTTTGTTTTTTTCCTTTTGATTTTATGGGTCAAACCTCTGGACCAAGTTGGGTGCTCTGTGTCAGGTCCCGGCTACAGAGCCCTGGGAAAAAGACATTCGTCATGAATGGGGAAGGGACACCAAGTTCCATAAGAAAGCCTGGCTTACTTTTCTTGGGTTTCTATAGGTATATTTTATTTGATGGTGATGTGGATGCTCTGTGGGTGGAAAATATGAATTCTGTGATGGACGACAACAGGCTGTTGACGTTGGCCAATGGTGAGCGCATTCGGCTTCAAGCGCACTGTGCTCTGCTCTTTGAGGCAAGTAGTGATGAAAAATAATTTTTAATATGTCTTGCAGTTAAGAATTTAAATGTTTATTAAATTGGTAATAAATATAGATGACCAAAGAAAACCCAAACAGTGCAAGAAGAGTTTTTATGATGAGGACAACTCAATACTTCCCTCATTCTTCTTACTCCTCTTTACTGTATCCCGGAGGTAACTACTTTTCACTCTTGGGTTGTTTCTGCTGATCGTTATCCTGTTGTCTGTATATAACACACTTAGCATGCTGTTTCTTCCTGTATCAAGTTTACACAGTATCTACGCTATGACTGCTATGAAAGCGAGAGTTCATCTCTCACAACACTAGCTCACTCCCCTCCTCAGAATACTAAACTAAACTGATTGCTACATCAGTTAAATCAGTAAAAAGTATTTGCGTTATTATGAATATGGAAATATTTACTGTAGAGCCAACTAGTATACTGCTATTATGTTTACTTTCTTTTTGAGCCTTTTTTTTTTTGGTCTTAGTTTGTAGTTGCCTTCTTTTTTTCTCTCACACTATTTGCCTTTAATTTTCTTTTCATTTATTTTTGCAAACTTTCTATCATAGCCTCTGAACCTGTTTCATAGCTGTGGCCCTGAGACTTGTTTTCACTTCAGCTTAATGTTAAAGTTGTTCCTAAGTTGGCCTGCAAAATTCACTGATGCATGTGTATTTCCTTACCTTATTGGCTGACTGAACGGTGTCTTTTTTTTTTTTCTCATGAAGAGATAGGTGTGTTAATATTGCTGGTTTAGATGGGTATGTATTAAGTTTTATACTACCCAATCTCAACTATGTTTTAAAAAATGAAGAAAAAAATACTGAAAGGAAAACAGTCCAAAACAATGTTTATTTCTTGGTGTTGGTATTTTGGGTAACTTATTTTCTTCTCTATAGTTTTCTATTTTTGTCAGATATTCTACAGCATATTAATTTTCATATTAATTTATAGTAAAAGAAAAGTTAAAAAGATGCTACATCAGAAATGTATAACCTTCCCATGATAAACCCAAGTGTTCAGTTGGAAGCCTCATGAAAGCTATGTTAATCTGGGCATGACTTGGGTTTTATGCAGTTGTGAAAACTTTGCCCAAAGCAAAGGCCTTTAAACATGCCATTCAGCTGTTCATAGCTTTAGACATGACTGATTTCCTTTATTTCTCTAGGTTGGAGATTTACAGTATGCCTCTCCTGCAACTGTGTCTCGATGTGGAATGGTTTATGTGGATCCTAAGAACTTGAAATATCAACCGTACTGGAAAAGATGGGTTAATCAAATACAAAACAAGGTGAAAATTATTTCTAAGATGAACTTAAAAGTTATTAGTATTTGTGCCTAGCTGAATAAACATAATCCAGGGGGATGTTTGTAGTTAAAGCCATGGCCTTGACCTTGATCTGCCTGTGATCTTAAGCAGTGTCAGAGCATCAATAAATTGGATGAAATCTGGAAGACACACTTACTAGATTTCCAGATAGTTCCATAGCTGGTGGGATAGGTAATCTTTTTTTTTTCATTTCTTAAGCTTATTTATTTATTTTGAGAGAGAGGGAGGGAGGGAGGGAAGAGACAAGCTGGGGAGGGGCAGAGAGAAAGGTGGACAGAGGATCTGAAGCAGGCTCTATGCTGATAGCACAGAGCCTGATGCGAGGCTCAAATTCACAAACTGTGAGATCATGACCTGAAGTCGGACGCTTAACCAACTGAGCCACCTAAGCGCCCCAGGGCTACGTGATGATTTCAGTAGTCTAGATCAAGGGTTGACATTTTTTTTTCCTGTAAAAGGATTGAGAGTAATATTTTAAACTTTGTGGGCCGGCTGGTTTCTTTTGCAACTACTCAACTATACCATCGTGGTATGAAAGCAGCTAAAGTACGTGAATGGTCATGTCTATGTACCAATAAAATTTTATTTACACAAAGAAGTGGCAGGCCAGGTTTGGCTTGTGGGTTGTAGTTGGCAACTCCTGCTGCAGCCAAGCCCAGCTGTTGAGAGACTTCTCTCTAGAGGGGCCCAGCTTTTGCTGAATTGGATGAATGCAATGTGAAGGACCTAGCTTGTCATGTAATTGAGTTCTGACGGTTTTAGTTGACCTCAAACCATGTCATGTGTCACATGGCTGCTAAAATGTGTATTGTAACAAAAGGCTTCATTGAAAAGTATAGAGATAGGTGTGACAGTCATGTGAAGGTAGTGCCTTGACCACACACCCAGGACACCATGACTGCATTCTCAAAGCGACACAGGTGGTTTGGGTGTATCACTGGAAGGACTGCTAGGCTGATGGTGAATTGGAAACCAGGACATAATTATCCCAGAGAAGAGAAGACCGAGGGAAGCATGATAGGACCATTGGAGGCACCGTCGTAAGGGAGAGAGAGTTGTGTCAGGGCCCGTGCGATCCCTGGTGGTCCTCAGCGCCTTGATAGGGAGAGGGGCTTCCACTGCTTTGCACTCTTTGCAAGATGACTGTGGCCGCCCCACTTGAACTTGAAGATAATCAGCCCCATTTCTGTCAAATGGGACCTGTTATCCTCCCTCCCTCCCAGGTGGCGGGGTAGATGCTATGGCAGTGAAACGAAGTGCTTTGCAATGAAGGTGCACCGTGAAGGACAAATCTCTCCACAAACGGAAGGCGCTGTTATCGGGGTTTGCTCACCTGCCAAATCTACCCTTCATCAGAAGACCTTTCTCATCTCTCTTTCGCCAAGATCAGCTTTCCACTAACTTCCCCTTAAATAAAGGAGCCCTCGAAAATGCATTGCATTTCTGCTCTTTTATAGGCAGAGCAAAGCAATTTAGAGAGTCTCTTTGAGAAGTATGTGCCCTATCTCATCGATGTGATTGTGGAAGGGACAGTGGATGGAAGACGAGGCGAGAAGCTGAAGACCGTCGTTCCGCAGACAGACCTAAATATGGTGAGAAAATATCCCTGTTAGCAAAGAGAGATGCTTCCCTAAAGGTGGACCCACAGGCCAAGGGAAGCAGAGATGCCAGAGGGGTAAACTGTAACGTCACAGGTTGCTTTCTTTGGCGACCCTGTGCAGGACAAGGTGCCAGGCTCCATCTGACGGAACCGATAGGGTGGGTCATAGGTTCCCACCGCGCTGGGACCTGGGATCCCGAGGTTTATGACCAGAACTGACCCTGGGGTGGGGGAGTGGAATGAATGGGCTGATCCGGGATTTGCCTGGGCACTAGGTAACCCAGTTAACCAAGATGTTGGATGCACTACTCGAAGGAGAAATAGAGGAACCAGACCTTCTGGAGTGCTATTTCTTAGAGGCTCTGTACTGTTCTCTGGGGGCTGCTCTGCTCGAGGATGGAAGGATTAAATTTGACGAGTGCATTAAACGCCTTGCTTCTTTGCCTTCTGTTGATACGGAAGGGGAATGGGCCAGCCCCGGGGAGCTGCCAGGTAAGATCTGGGCGTAGACTGTTTTCCTACTCACAGCGCTTTGGGGGGAGGGTTTTGGAGGAAGTGACCTTGCTCTTCCATACGTATGCCCGTACGGGTTTTCCAGCTCGTTGGCTTCTGTAGACACACGTGCAATGGTCAGACCCCCCCGGGGTACCCTCAGGAGTTCCAGCGTGTGAGCTGCTAGAGCAGAAGCCACACTGGCTTGTCTCGTTGCGTCTAAACTCCTCCCCACCCCAGCACTCCCACCCTCGCACCCTGAGTTTAGTTAGGCGCTCGCTTCCTTTGCTGTTTAAGGTTTTAGAAATTTTCACACTTTGCGTGACTTTGAGTTTCTTCTCCTTTGAATTTCTCTGCCTGTTTTTTTAAGACCACCTCTCTAATTTTCATCTGCTGTATTCCCGAGTATTTTCACAGGAGGTGATCAAGGGTGGATCCGTAGGTCCTTCTTAGGAGATCTTCGTATTAAGGTTTTTAGGTTGCGGGTGAAGAAGGTGCATCCTCCAAGAACGACGTGTGATGAAAACCTGCCTTTTTCAGGAACTCTGTGTAACGCTATGATCCATCTTTGTCTAGTTCTTCAAAAAAACTTTTTTTAGCGTTTATTTATTTTTGAGAGAGAGAGAGAGAGAGAGACAGAAGATGGACTGTGAGTGGGGGAGGGGCAGAGAGAGAGAGGGGGACACAGAAACCGAAGCAGGCTCCAGGCTCTGAGCTTTCAGCAGAGTCCAACACGGGGCTCGAACCCACCAACCGGGAGATCATGACCTGAGCCAAAGTTGGACGCTCAGTCAACTGAGCCACCCCGGCATCTCATCTTTGTCTAGTTCTTCATGATATTTGAACATGACTTGGCCGGTCACCATCTTTCTAAGCTGTATCCTATCATCATTACCTGGGGCATTCTTTGTAAACGGCAAAGTAAAGTGGTCCCAGGGCTTCCTAATGGGGAGCACTGTGCTCTCCACCCTCCTGCTCGGGTGCCGGCTTCCTTGCTGGGCTCCTCCTGAGCTGTCTCTTCTGTTTCCCTCCTACCAACTCCCTCCCAGCTGCTCTTGGACCTGCTCAGGGGAAACCTTCTACGCCCTTCTAGAGACGTCTCTCCACCTCTTTCCTGTGAAAGCCACGAGTCCTCGAAAGGTTGGCTTCGAGCTCCGTCTTCTCATCCCACTTGCTTCTCGGCCAACAGCCACCCACCCCCCTTTCAAATCCCGGCTCCCCTGGAAGTGCTTCCGGTGAGCGTGTCCACTGCTGTCTCCACCGGAGCCCACGGGCCTTGGCGTCCTCGTCATCCCGACCTTGCCTGGCGTCCGACGTGGCTGACCACTTCCTGCCCTCTTGAAATGTTCCTCCTCTTCCCTGCCGGCCGCTCGTCCGTCTCCTTCCTCTCCTCGGGGTTTGGTCTTCCAGCCTCCTTTCGTGCTTCAAGTCCTCGCTCCCAGCTTCGGCCTGCTAGTCTCCTTCCCTCCTGAGCCTTCTCCTCGTTCCCTCTCGCTCTGTCCTACTGCAATCTGTCTGTGGGTTGTCTATCATTCATCTATCTACTCGTGTATCTGTTGTCTATCTGCCTTCCATCTGTCTATCTGTCTATCATCTATATCTGTCGTCTACCCACCTATTATCTCTCTATCACCTGTCTGTCCACCTTGCACATCGGCGACCCTGACACCTTCTTCCCCCCACCCCAGCCCGTCACTTCAGCCTGTCGATCTCCGCCCCCACATCTCTTGGGAGCTCTCCTGTCGGCTCTGCCCTGGGTAAGGTGGGAGCCTCACTGACAGATCTCCCAGTCTCCACTCACCTCCTCCAGATCCATTTTCCACTACAGTCGTACTGATCTCTGCAGAGGCAGACCCGATCACGGGTCCCACTGGAGACTAATGTCACACGCCCAGGACCGACAGGGTGGAGAACAAGCCCCTGAAATGGCCTGCCAGGCTCTTCACGCAACAGCCCCGCAGCCCTTGTAGCATTGCCTCATCTGCCCACCGTGTGCGCTCCTCACTTACTGCTTTCTGTTCCTCCGGCCACCCCGCCGTGCTCTCTCCTCCCTGACAGCCTCCCAGTGGCCCCCAGTTCTCTTGGCTCGGGACTCATGCTTCAGGTCTCAGACTGGATGGCATCCCCTTTGGGACGGCTTCCTCCCCGTGCTGGCTGCAAAATTTGGTATTGCTGGGGCCTCCGGGTGGCAGTCTCTCCGGGAGCAGGTGCACGAGGAACCTTTCTTAGAGCTGAATTTGCGTAGCACCCCTGATGTTCAGGTACAGAGGAGTGTGGGCTGCGGGGCGCCTCGAGGTGCCCCGCGTGCCCTGTGGCACCTGGTGCTTCTCCGACCTCTTCCCTGCCCCTCCTGGTCAGACGTCCTCCCGGGCGCCCGCTGCACCTGCGCTTGCCCTGTCGCGGAACGTAGCGCTCCGCGTTGACATTGCCTGTTGACTTGCCTCCGTTCCGCCCCCCACCCGGCCGCCAACAACTGTAAGCCTAGGTTCCAGGGTTGTCCGCCACCGAGCTCTCTCGTCCCCAGGGAGGGGGCTCAGCGTGTACCTGCCCAGTGGACGGGAGCGTAAGTTCGAAGTACTCAGTTAAGTTGCCGTCCAGGGGGCGGGTAGCATCAGTTCGTCTTATGCGTGTCCCGGAGCTGACTGTATTTCCGTGTCTACGACTGAAGCGAAATGGACCATTATGTACCACAGGTCACCTCCCAACCATGTATGACTTTCATTTCGATTCTGCGCAGAAGAAATGGATACCGTGGAATAAATTAGTTCCTGAATACGTTCACGTCCGCGAGAGGAAATTTATCGACATCCTGGGTGAGTGAGAACCAAAGCCCTGTTCTCAGCGTATGGCACTTGTCCTGTGAGGAAGTGAAAAAGATCTGGGGGCCTCCGTGGCCCCCTGAGTCCCACCCAGAGCGTTGGTTCGGAGAAACTGAAAAGATTGAGCCGTGGGTCTCACCAAGAGGGTGGCGTTTCTGATTCTGTTTATGTGCGGCTGGCTCTGAGCGTCTTCAGATGTCTGTGGTTCTCAGCTGTCACCTGACAGGTGGGGTGGGGATAGGACAGTCCACTCTGCCCTCCCCCCCCAAGTCTCCACAGGCCCCCTGCAGCCTGGAGAGCTGGCCGGCTGTGCGAAGAAATGAAGGAAGAAAGCGAGAGGAATGAGCGGGGCAGCGTGTCGTGAAAAGGGCTGCCTCGCGAGGTCGTCCACCACGGACACTTAATGGGTTGTGCCGTATTTTTTAACGCACCCCTCTGGCTATTTAGAGAACGTAGTGGCAGGATGACTTCCCGAAACAAACGTCTGGGTTTGGTTCCGATGGAATGAGACCTACCCATTTCCCCAGGAACCAGTCAGGACTAAAAGCAACCAGTGCAGGAGCAAGCCAGACCTGGTTTCGTGGTTTCGTTCTGTCTTTGGAGGAAGTTGTTGGTCAGGAAACCAAACCCTGCAGATGTGTGACTGATGTAAGCCATGGAGAAACTGAGTTTTTAACATCCCAAGTATACGTCAGAGTCGGACATGAAGAATGGTTTGGGGCTTCTGAATCTGGACCATAGCAGTGACCGCACCGCTGTAGAAATGTACCAAATGCACCAAAACATACCCTTAAAGTGGGTGAATTTTATGGTGTTTAAGTGATGCCTCCATAGAGCTATTAAAAATAACGATTGGGGCAGTGAGATTCCAGACGGTAGCCGTATACTCATTTTCAAGGTCACGTCTTGGGGTTTTGCCGACGCTTTTTTTTTTTTTAATTTTGTTTTTCAACGTTTTTATTTATTTTTGGGACAGAGAGAGACAGAGCATGAACGGGGGAGGGTCAGAGAGAGAGGGAGACACAGAATCGGAAACAGGCTCCAGGCTCTGAGCCATCAGCCCAGAGCCCGACGCGGGGCTCGAACTCACGGACCGCGAGATCGTGACCTGGCTGAAGTCGGACGCTTAACCGACTGCGCCACCCAGGCGCCCCTTGCCGACGCTTTTTATGGGATGTTCGGAATTCCGTGAAACTCCAGGTTGCCGCATGCTCCCCTTTGACGTTTCTGTGATGCCCCCCTCCTATCGTGTTCCCCAGTTCATACAGTGGATACAACACGCACCACCTGGATGCTGGAACAGATGGTCAAGATCAAGCAGCCGGTTCTTTTGGTTGGGGAATCTGGCACCTCTAAGACAGCCACTACCCAGAACTTCCTCAAAAATCTGAACGTGGAGATGAACGTAAGTCGTGGTTGGTATCCTGCTGGGTAACAAATCGCCCCCGCGCGTAGCAGCCCAGGGCAACAGACGCTTACTGTCGCACCATTTCTGCGCGTCAGGGATCTGGGCATGGCTTAGTTGGGCAGTTCTCGCTCACGCTCTGTCCTGAGACTGCTGTCCAGCGGTTGGCCGGGGCTGGAGGCCTGATGGGGGGGCTGGAGGGCCCTCTTCCAAGATGGTGGGCCTCAGTTCCCCACTACGTGGACCTCTCCGAGGGCTGCCGAGTGACCTCTTGATATTGCAGCCTGCTTCTGCCAGAGCGCACGTCCACGATGGAGCAAATCGGATGCCATGCTGCTTTTGGTGACCTAGGAAATCACCTTCCCTCGCTTCGGCCATGGTCTGTGGGTGACACAGAGACCACCGTGAATCACCTTGGCCTGTGGGAGGGGGCTACGCGGGTGAATGAGTACCTGGAGGGTGAGGGTGGACGGGGGTCATCTTGGAGGCCGGCCGTCTCTTTATTCATCACCTTGCTGTGGTTTTGAAAACCTCAAGGTTTTCCTTTATTTCCCCCAGGCCTGTGTTAAATGTGGGAGGGTCCGACATGTGGGGGACACTGAGCTAGCTGGGTGCCACAGGGACAGACAAGAGCGAACTTGCAGTCAGTTCTGGAGGGACTCACAGTTGGGTGGGGGGGAGACAAATTCGGAAACGAACCCTGTGAAACATGACACTGCAGAACGTGCCAGGGTCCTAAGACATTAGGAAGGGGGGTGCCAGGGGTGCCTGGGGGCTCAGTCAGTTAAGCATCCAGCTCTTGATTTCAGCTCAGGTCCTGATGTCACGGTTCATGGGTTCGAGCCCCTCCTTGGGTTCTGCGCTCACAGTGTGGAGCCTGCTTGGGATTTTCTCTCTGTCTCTGTCCCTCCCTTGCTCACACTCTCACGCTCTCTCTCTCTCTCTCTCTCTCTCTCTCTCAAAATAAATACACTTAAAAAAAAAATAAAGAGGGGCGCCTGGGTGGCTCAGTTGGTTGAGCTTCCGACTTTGGCTCAGGTCAAGATCTCACGGTTCGTGAGTTCGAGCCCCGCGTCGGGCTCTGTGCTGACAGCTCAGAGCCTGGAGCCTGTTTCAGATTCTGTGTCTGCCTCTCTCTCTGACCCTCCCCTGCTCGCACTCTGTCTCCCTCTGTCTCAAAAATAAACAAACACTAAAAAAAAAAAAAAAAAAGGAAGGAGGCTGTCAATTCTCCTTTCTATACTTAGAGTTGCCTTACATGGACCACCTGCTCATCATTTCAACTGTCCTGGCTTTAAACAATTTTTATTTAATGGTTTTTTTGTTTTTTTTAATAACCAAGGCAAGATTCTGTCTCCTCCAAGAAGCTGCCTGTGCTTTTCAGGATATCCAGCTGATACATACTTGTCCCAAATCCACTCACTGACTCAGTTCTCTGTTTTAGTTAATATCTGCTCATCATTTAATTTTCTAATTCCTGTTTTGGCCTTCTGGAACCTCAGAGGGGAGAAGAGTTTCCTGCGGCTCTTCTTTCTGACTCCCTTACTTAGGCTTGTTCCCCGGGAAGCCCTGTGACCCTCTAGGCCAGGGAGTGGTCAGCCAGGCTTTGCGATGGGCATCACATGAAGGATGTGGGCAAGACAGGGCCAGACTGCCTGCGAATGGTCGAGCCCAGTCACAGGTGCACGGAAACAGGGTTTATTCAGCTTGAAGGATGTCATTGTGGAGGCACAGAAGGGATGTTTATAGCCAGAGGGACCGAAGAGTTTGTGGGGTCAGGCAAACAGCATCCACATTCAGAACACCCCCCACGACTCAGCAGCTGGTGCTCATCGGCCCGGCAGTCACATCGGTGCACATTCGTTATGAGGAGACGCACGTTGACCTTCATTGCACGCGGCTCCCGTGCGCCTGTCGGCACCTCTGAGGACAGTGCCGTCTGCAGCAGTGGTTCTCAAAGTGTGGTCCCTAGGCCAGCAGCATTGCCTGAAAACTCGCATACACGATCCTAGACCTTTTGAATCAGAAACTCTGAGGATGGGGCCCTTTGAGCCGTTTGGCACAGGCCCTCCAGGTGATTTGGGTGCATATTAAGAGCGAGAACCATTGACCCATGAACTCTCACCAAGTGCTCTAAGAAGCACAGTGAGGGGTCCTGTGTGTGCCCCGTGCATGGGGGAGGCTCTCCACACAGGGGCCCGGGGCCCCCCTCGCCTTTCTCTCAGCAATTAATTCCAAAGGTGCTCTCTCTGACCTGTTTATTAAGACATAGCAGGCATGATAGTAACTTCTGGTTGAATATTACTTTGTCACGTGGAAAACGCCTTTGGGGATTTCATCTCCTGTGATAAAATTACCCTATGAAGTAGTCCAAGCAGATGCTATTAAAACTGTCTTACAGATGAGAAAAACGAGGTTCTAAAAGGTTGAACCTCTTTGGGGCGCTTGGGTGGCTCGGTCGGTCGGGCGTCCATCTGACTTTGGCTCAGGTCATGATCTCGTAGTTTGTAGGTTCAAACCCCACATCGGGCTCTGTGCTCTCAGCTCAGAGCCTGGAGCCTGCTTCAGATTCTGTGTCTCCCTCTCTCTCTCTCTGCCCCTCCCCTGCTTGCCCTCTCTCTCTCAAAAATAAGCATTTAAATAAATAAATATTAAAAAATTGTTTAAAGGTTAAACCTCTTTTTGGAGGTCACTTAGCCAGACTGTGCAGAGCTAAGACCCCCTAGTTGACATTGTGCCAGAGGCCCACGTGTGGTGACTGGTCATGCTTGGCCTCACACAACCTGCTGAAGGGGAAGAATGCTGTACCGGCACACACTGGGTTATGGGAAAGTTCAGATGCCGGTGAATTTGCAAAATGGACGGCAGCGCACAGTCCAGCATTTCCCGCTGGTACTGAGAAGAGATGACCACCTTCTGGAATGATCTCTCTCTCTTCCAGATTGTGTTGATAGTCAACTTCTCCTCCCGCACCACATCTCTGGATATCCAAAGAAACTTGGAAGCAAACGTTGAGAAGCGAACCAAAGACACATACGGCCCGCCCATGGGAAAGCGCCTCCTGGTGTTCATGGACGACGTGAATATGCCAAAGGTGGCGTAAGGTTAAGGAGCAGGGGGCGGTGGGGCCGGGCCGCGTGCTGCGCTTGCGTCGCTGTGTGTGCGCGTGGAGTCCGTGAGTGTGCGAGCGCGTGCCTTCGTTCTGCACGATGCCCGCAGGGTGCTGGCGATGGGAGCCAGCTCTGGAGACAGTGTTACTGGAAAGTTCTACTGACACAGTGGGACTCTTCCTTACTGATTGCTTTCCTAGAGGAGTTAGGCAGCAGGCAGCCTCCAGGCTTTTTACAGCATGTATTCGAGTAAGTGGTTTCTCGATGAGCTAGAGCTCAGACGATAGTGTTGTTCTCAGTCCCAGGTACATGGAAAGCATAAGGTCAGACGCTTCCCAAGGATTCCTCTGGATTTACCAAGGAAGGGAAACTTTAGCATGCAGGAGTGTGTTTCTGGGGCCGGAGCCTGAGAGTTGTGAAGTTTTCTTAGTACTAAAATTTAAATTTATGCAATTTCTGCAGAACCATTTTTTCCTCTGAAAATCTATCCTCTAGATGGACTGTGTACAAAGCCAGGATTCATCCACCCATCCATCCATCCATCCACCCACCCACCCACCTAGTCTTCCTTCCTTCCTTCCTTCCTTCCTTCCTTC